TGATAATATTTGTAGCTGTCTCTGCTTCGCTATGAACTGTCTGTGTTAGTGTTGGCTAAACAACAGCTGCTGTGATGACTAAGCAGCAGTCTGGCGTCTACAGTAGAACATTTTTGTTGTATTTCTGTATTATTTCCATCTTCTTTTCTTAGTCTCCCTATTATTTGATATTTCCGAGGAAAACATTTATCCTGAACTCAACAACTTCAACGCAGACCGGGTTAGAGGATCTGTTTGTTATATTTCTCTGCATGTATATATATTAGTACTGTAGCTTGAACACAAAAACATTTCATATATCAACATGTTCTGAATCTAATCTGAATAAATGGCCCTTGAGATATAGGACAAAAGGAAATGTGTTGTTGTTATCTCTTCATGCTGCTAAATAGAAACTGGGTCAGAAATGTGCTGCGAGTAATGTTTAAACATTATGTAATATGTCATGGCATTTCCTCCTGTGTAAGCACTCTTCAGGGACACAGAGAGCTCGCAGGGCTTCCTGTAAAGGTTTGGAGGACAAGGAGGCCATTTTTGCAGTAATTCATTAACATAGTTTGGCTGTGGGTTTAATAAATGCAACTCGGGGATGGTGTATTCTTAGTTAACATAAAATAAACTATTGTGCTTTTTGGAGTTTTCCCTTTTCATGAAGTGTGTTAGCTATGTTTTTGTGAGTCACATTTCCATCGTGTCATGAAGGGACCAGACATGTCTAAAACATACTATAAAAGTAGATATATTGGTGGAAAAATTGCTATTCATACAGGGTAAAATAAGAAAATGGTGGCCCACAAAACTAGCTTCACTAAAACAAAAGAACAGCATATCTGCTTTTGTTTTATGTCCCTGCTTCAGACAGAACTTGAGTATTCAGTTTTATTGTAGAACATCTCCTGCTGTTCTTGTATGTCAGCAAACTCCCCCAAAAATCTCACCTTTTTAACAATACAGCGTTCTGTGTTTCCCTAAAGGCTGGACAACCACACCTCACTTTGAGATAATGATGACATTGCACGGAGCTTTTTTCCAATATGTATTCAATAGCGGGTTTTTAAATATGAGAGTGACTCTTTGTTTTCTCTACCATGTTGTAAAGCGCACATTAATCTTCTCTGCAAGTATTAAAGGTCCCCTAGTATACTGTTTCTCATCAATATATCACAGGTCTCAGATATATACAGAGCCTGTTTCTGATTGGCTGAAACACTAAACAGATCATTGCAGCATTACCCATAATCCCCTCTGTTTCAGCCCTGTTTCCAAAGTGCTGATTCCCTGTCTGTTACTTCAGATGAAAATAAGGAGCCCCTCCCCACGCCCCTCTGAGAGACATTTGGTTACAAAGAACTCAATGGTGCTCTAGGAGGAGATTCAGGTGATAAGGGGGGGGGGGGTTACCTTGGTTGCTGATTGGCTAATGGTTACACAAGACAAAACATCGTTATGACATCATAAAGTGGCCAAAATCTGATCAGCTCATTTTCAGACAGGTTTTATAGAATGGATCAAAAAGAGAGAGAATCTTTGTTCCTGAAACTTTCAGAGTCTCTTTCCACAGAGGGGACACATGTTGATGTAGAAGAGACATGAAGAAGAGGGGACACATGTTGATGTAGAAGAGACATGAAGAAGAGGGGACACATGTTGATGTAGAAGATACATGAAGAAGAGGGGACACATGTTGATGAAGAAGAGGGGACACATGTTGATGTAGAAGAGACATGAAGAAGAGGGGACACATGTTGATGTAGAAGAGGGGACACATGTTGATGTAGAAGAGACATGAAGAAGAGGGGACACATGTTGATGTAGAAGAGACATGAAGAAGAGGGGACACATGTTGATGTAGAAGAGACATGAAGAAGAGGGGACACATGTTGATGTAGAAGAGACATGAAGAAGAGGGGACACATGTTGATGTAGAAGAGACATGAAGAAGAGGGGACACATGTTGATGTAGAAGAGACATGAAGAAGAGGGGACACATGTTGATGTAGAAGAGACATGAAGAAGAGGGGACACATGTTGATGTAGAAGAGACATGAAGAAGAGGGGACACATGTTGATGTAGAAGAGACATGAAGAAGTGGATTTTGCACAATAGGCGACCTTTAGATGAGTCAAACTTTAGCTGCAAAAGAACCCCTTTAATTGGCCTTCCCTTGTTTTAGCTCCAGCCTCCACACATCAATTGTTCCTGTAAAGTCACAAAGCTGTTCAAATGCTAATATGTTCCTGCCACATGCAGTGATCCTACTGTGTCTCTCATTACACTGCACCCGCCTCTCAGACTCCACAAATGATATCTTGTATTAGTGACACTTTACGATTATTCATAGCTCTTCTTTTTGTGTCTCTGCCACCTACTCACACTCATTTGCATAATGACTCATCATTATTCAGAGAATCAATGCCATGCAATCTTTCAATCAAGGAAGTTGTCAGAAAGTGATAGACTTGGATCATGGAGGTAAGCATTATCAAACCGGTTGGAAAAGCTATTTATAGCTGGTTTGAAAGCCTGGATTATTTTTGGACAGTTTAAGGATCCTTGCAGACTGCGTGCGGGTCAGTGTTTTGCAACCAAGAGTGAGTATGAAGTTTGTTGAAGCTTAATAATAAGGAAGAAAATATGTGTGTGTGTGTGTGTGTGTGTGTGTGTGGTGTGTGTGTGGTGTGTGTGTGGTGTGTGTGTGTGTGTGTGTGTGTGTGTGTGTGTGTGTGTGTGTGTGTGTGTGTGTGTGTGTGTGTGTGTGTGTGTAGTGTGTGTGTGTGTGTGTGTGTGTGTGTGTGTGTGTGTGGTGTGTGTGTGTGTGTGTGTGTGTGTGTGTGTGTGTGTGTGTGTGTGTGTGTGTGTGTGTGTGTGTGTGTGTGTGTGTGGTGTGTGTGTGTGTGTGTGTGTGTGTGTGTGTGTGTGTGTGTGTGTGTGTGTGGATCAGGGAAATCCTCCTCAGTCAGACGGATTTCCACCATGTGATCAAATGTCCTCATGACGATGCAGCGATAAGGAGTAATCATTGTTTTGAAACAGGGAGTTCAGCCAAATGACCTCCCGCAGCGATAAGGAGTATTCTTCGTTGTGTTGCACATTTTGTGAGTCTGACAGACGGCTGTGGATGTGAGTGTGGTTTCTACGTAGCTGCTGACGTGTTGCTTGCAGGACAGAGGATGGATATTGTGAGCAGGGGGATTAAAGCGGGTGTTCGGCCAGCTGTGAAGTGTTTCCACCATCTGCTGAGGAGCAGCAGGTGGAGGTGTGTGAGACTGGGGATAAACATCTGGATGAGCTTCTAATGCTGCTCTGTTGGTTAATCTTACTTCTACTTGTGCTGTACCTGAGTATTGTCCTTTTATACTGCCTTATACTTCTACTCTACTACATTTTGGAAGCCCAATTTGTACTTTTATCTCCCCTCATTTAATTTACACATGTATTTACTTTCAGCTTTTGACACATAATACTTAGGAAAAACAGTAGAATCTGTTTATTTTGTCGGTTTTAACCATCCGACATTATATCCTAGTAACTAAAACTTGAGTGGGTTTACACTAATCGTACTTACTTACTTACTTATGGCGCTTTTACACTGCAGCACGCTTTTTTGTTGCGTTTCCACTAGGGGTAGTTCCGGCTCAGGGCTACCTTTTCACCTTTTTGCTGGCCCTCCAAAATCGAGGTTTTTACCGGGCCAACAACCGGGTTGAATATGCTAAACTAGTGACGTAAACACTCTCGACTGCTGAATGGTCAGAGAGAATCGCTGGCAAGAGGGCTACAACTACAACAACATGAACATATTTGACCGTGATTTAATTGTAATACACGTTTCTAAATGATGCCGAAGTAACAACATACTGATACCGGTTAGTAAAAACCATGAATTAATGCTTTGACAAGTCTACAGACAGACGGCAGAGAAACACCTTTAAAATGCGTGTTGTCTGAATGGAGCTTGGCTAAGCTAACGCAGTTTATGCTCCGACCGTCCACACTCACAACAACGGCCTATACAGACATACATAAACCAGCGACTGTATTCTCCATGACACAGGCAGTCTGTCGTTTGTACTTGTTTAACTTCTGTCTAGTTTCTGAACAGATATGAAGAGCTATGAGCTCTGAGTGCTAACAGCTAACGGCTGATGTTGGTTTTGTGGTTCGTATTGAAGATGACGTCACGGCTCCGCCTACACTGCGTTACTATAGTTACTGCCCCAGTTACTAAACTGTAATGGAGACGCAGCATAAAGTGACCCTGGCCAACCAAGGCCTAACCCTGCCGTACTAAGCTGCGCGAGGCCCTGCAGTGGAAATGCGCCATTACTTACCGTACATACTTTGACCTAGGTACCATTCTCGATGCAGCACTTTTACTTGAAGTTGGGTATTGTTACAGTGTGGTATTAGTACTTTTACTTTAAACAAACAATAATAACAGCACTTATATATGATTATAATTATACTACAGGGAACAACCAATATCTAATGGATTGTAAAGACGTCTTGTAGACAGTAGTAAATAATAACAATCGGTAGCAGTGCACAAAACAAATCTTTATCCTAATCTAATGGCACAAATAAAAGCATTTGCTGTTCTAAGATGGAACAAATGTGTGTTTTTGTGTGTGTGTTTTAATGTCAGATCAGTCAATCCCCGTTGACTATCTGCCAGTGTTTCCGATCTGTTGCCAGTTTTTTGTCCAGTCGTGTCTTCAATTAAAGTTTCTGTTCAACTAATGTTTGGTTTTCCTTTTGTTTTCTGTCTCTTGTCTCCTCTTTTTTTTATTTATCGTCGTCGTCCTGTGTTGCCGCTGCCGCCAACTACCGTCTCCAAACCAACATCTGCATTGTGGACGCACCTCTGCCCTCCTTTAATCTTCACCCCAAATCTCTGCCTCTCTTCCTCTCTCTCTCTCTTTCTGTGTCCCCCAAATATCTCTTATTTCTATTTCTATTTTCTCTCTCTTTTTCTGTGTCTATCCTTTCCGCTCGCTAGCACCATGCAGAGTTGAAAGAGAGCCTTTCCGCCCCCGGTAAGCCTGTGACTTTTCAGAGACATGGCTAAAGACAGTGCACACAGTCACATATTAGAGCCATCTCTGTTATTTAGGTAACATATAACATAAGGGAATATGTTTAAGTGGTAATATAGGCTTTCTCAGGCACATTTTAGGTTGTGATTGCTCTAACAGCACATTAGTGTCCACCTCATTAATAAAGCATGAAATGCAGTTTTTCATTGAGCAGTTCTTGCATGCTTTGTTTTTTAAGTTAATTTAGCTTGTGGCTTTCTTTGTATTATATTTGTTATGTCTGTCTTTAGAAACTGCTGCCTCCTATAACACATGTCATCTTCTCTTGAGGGTTTAGTCCTGCTTTGTTTAGATTCCCTTTCATCATGTCCTCCTCTCGTCTGTAGCTGCAGTGGTGAGCAGTGATGACCCCGTCCTTCTGACCCCAGGCAGGATGAGCCAGCGCCAAGTGAAGGACAAGGAGAAGGACAAGGACAAGGACAAAGACAAGGACAAGGACAAAGACAAGGATAAGGAGAAAGACAAGGAGAAGGAGAAAGAGGCGGGTCTTCAAACGCCCAACAGGGAACTCGTTACCACCCCCTCTGCACTCAGCCCGGGGGTCAGCTACACCCATGGTAAGAAACCCATAGGGTAAGAGTTTGCATGGGATTAAGTAAGATACGATACGATAAGAAGTACTTTGTTGATCCCAATTTGGGAAATGTTTGCGTTGCAGCAGCAAAAAGAAAGGCTTTGTACATTAGAGAAATGAAAAGACTAGAAATAAACAATCCAAAATGCAAACATCTCAAGTAGAAAATATACATGTGGAGATAATAAACAAAGTATGAAGCAGGATATTATATATACATGAATTGGTACCACTTTACAATAAGACTACCCTTATAAAGGGTTTACGAATAGTTTGTAATTCATTTATTAATTAGGTTGTGAACACTTTATAAATCCTTAATAAGCTTTTATAAGACATGAGATTAACAGGGCGACTGTGACCGGTTGCTTGCCGAATAGTGAGCCCACATCTATCTGTACTGCTTATTATTAGAGGTAGTAACTCATTAATAAATGGTCATAAGAGATGCCAAGAAACATCAAGATGGAAGGGGGGAATCAACTCAGTGAACAACAGATACCAAGGATGCTGGCTGATGAAGAAGACGAAGTAAGCTAGGTAGCCAATATAAGGCTTAGTCATCTTGCCAAATAGTGAGCCTGTGTTGATGTATGAAAACTATGTTAGAACTGGTTTATAAATGGTCCTTAATGATTAATAAAGTGTTTACAACCTAATTAATAACCTAATTATAAACCCTTTGTGAATCCTTTATAAGGGTAGTCTTATTGTAAAGTGGTAAATAAACAATATATGAAGCAGGATATTATATATACATTAATTGTGCAAGGAATGGATTATTACATATTAGATTGAATATAAGTTATCCAAGAGAGGTGATTTGTTTTAAAAAAGAAATGTGTTGGTGGTCTCCAGAAATCTGATTTTGATGAACCTCTCCACATTAAATGCAGAATTACAGTCAATGCAGCGATTGTGTACACTTTCTCTGTAGGGCTGCACGATTTTGGGAAATAATCTAATTGAGATTTTTCTGACAGATATTGCGATTCGATTTGCGATATTTGTTTTGAAGCGACCCAACGGAAGTTTATTGTAAAATGCGGCCATAACTCCGGCTAGGAAGGTCGTATCAACGTGCTCCCGTCTCTAGCACCCCGCAGCCCGAGCTACGAGTGAAAGAACTAAACTTACATGAAGCTTCCGTTGGGTTGCTTTAAAGTCAAGCTTCAGTTTAAGACTCTCCCTGTAATAGAAACATGTGATGGAGCATTACTAACCTGACTCAGATGGTTCACCAAACCATCTAAAGCTCCATTGGAAGCCATTTGGAAAAGTATTTCAAAAATACTTGCCAGGTGATTGGGTCAATCTGTCTATCACCTTCTATCAGGGGCCACTTCTGATTGGTTAACAATGACTGGTACATGTGGAGCACTTCTGATTGGTGTGGATGACTGACACACAAGAAGAACAACAACAAATTCAAAAAAGAAAACGCAGGTTTGCCATTTGATAATGTCATCATTTCAAATCGACGAATCGTTCAGCCCTATTTCTCATGCACAGTGACACGCTTGCCGGGTGTAGCTGTTCACAACATGTCTGAGGATGATCTTGAGTAACCTGGGCATGTTATCTGCTTTTGCACTTTGAGCAACACACACCCTCTAGCTTCATCATATGGGAGGGAAGCTTATCTCCAATACTCTGCAATCACACCATAACAAAGTAGATCACTCCAGGTAAGAGGAACATGTGTGTTTTCATTGGAGGCAAACTGTCCCTCCTCTACTGATGCTCAGCCACACTCATGTCCTCTCTTTTTTGTCCTGCTTCAGCCTTTTATAGTTTTATATATTTGTAGATGTCCTCGCTGTGGGACGGATTCTGAGTCTGATATGCAGTAGATCACATAGCTGCTGTATAATACCTAGAAGTCCACATATCTCAACATATCAGCGGGGATGATTTCCAGTGTTACTGCAGATGTTTGATCCTCGTTGTCAGAATCTGTCTGGAAATGCTCTCATTACAACTCACTCTGATGGTGCTTTGTTCTTGTGTTGCAGCGCCCCCTTGTGATCGAAGTATCTATTTATTTCAAGGATTTATATACCAGTAGTCTGATTTTGTTGCATGACATCACAGGGAAATGTGTTTCTCTACAGTCTTCAGTGAAAGACAGGGCAAAGCTTAATATGTAAATGATATGAATGTATTTCTTTGGCCTGCTGTTATAGTCTGGATGTAGGGTTAGGGTTGAGCTGCAACGATTCCTTCCATTATCTTATACATCTGCAGATCATTTTCTTGATCAATCAATTGTTTAGTATATAAAAAAGTAGTAAAAAATGTCAATCCCAGTTTGTTGATGTCCTTAAACGTCTTGTTTTGTCTAAAAACCAATAATAGTACACTTTAATATTTATATATTATATCAAAACATTTTGCAAACAGGAACATCCATATCTGAGAAACTGAAGACAGCATTTTCTTACATTTTTCTTGAAAATCTCTTAAAGATGAACAATGTTCATAGAAGTTGGCTTTAATGTGCTGCCCATCGACCAATCAAGTAGCCGTTTCAAATCTAATCACAGGTCAAAACTATCGGAGCATTTGTTTGCTGCTACATTTCAAGAATAAGTTTTGGTCTAGTTCGAAGCTAAAACTGTGTTTGTGTAACCTCATAAGCAAAGTTTGTAATTGCAATCGTGTGACTCATCCCTGATGGCTTTTGCATTTGGTTGTTAAACTTCAGGCTCACATTTGGGCAGGTCTAGTATCGCTGAATCCATTTGCATGAATCTATTTGAGTGTGTTTTTCAAATAGAAAAACTAGGCTGTAAAGCTACTTCCTACCACAAGAGGGAGTGAGCTTAACATGGCAATGATACACATCTTTGACCTCCACTCTACATGTCAGACACATTCAACTCTATCACGTGTGTTCATGCAACATCACTCACTTACTTAGCTTCTGAAAAAGCTTGTTAACGGATGCAAAACATTGTGTGTAGTCAGTAATGTTGACATATATTTATCAAGAGTAAGACGTGTTTTCATGGAGAAAGATGGAGTAGTTGAAGCCACTTCTATGTGCAGTTCTGCGTCTGTTCTGCACACTTTTGTTGCTCCGGTATACTGATATCAACATGCTACCTTGCTGAAATAGAGTCCAGAGCCTGTTTCAAGAAGAGATTGAAGGGCCATAATGACCATGTACCCTTGTGAGCTGTGAACCCTAACTTCATTTGATCGCATGTTGTTGATGATACTGGTGATGTTTTTAATGTTGTTAATGATGTCAGGACTTATGTCCTAAATGTTGTTGTATTGTTTTAAGTGTCGGACTCCAGGAAGAGTAGATTTAATCGAGAGCAAAAGCTAATGGGGATCCTTAATAAACATAAACATGATTCAATATAAACGAGTCCTCTGGAAGCGGGTGGTGATACAGCAGCTGGAGAACATCGAAAGCAGACTGTCCGTCATCCTCCCCTTCAAAAACCCGACTGCACCATATGTGAAGCAAGAGTCGGTAAAACAGCAAGCTTCCTTCTTTTTCAATTTGTTTATGACACTCCAGCACAAAAACGGATATCCATGGCAACGGACTTCACGCCTTCTAGTCCTGGGTCTGGCGTCACAGTTTATACTCTGCTTTGTTTGAAGATCCCCACGTCATTAGGAGATGACGTGGGTCATTCTGAATTGAGAAGGGGATTGTCAGAGTCGGGTGAAAATTCACACTTAAGGTGCGAAGAGCCTTTATGACGATAGTATTTTTCTATTTATCTGATGCTTCCCCCGACGACAACAACAAGTGATTGCTCGAGAGTGTTTCTGTTGGAACATAATTACATTTGATTGTACCCAGAAGTGCCTCCTCTAAATGACCAATTTGCTATATTTATGCACATCTAAACCCTTATTGTTTGCATAACATCTGATCATTAACCAACCCCTCTACCCTCTCCAAAGAAGGCACGTCATTGCAAATCATAATTCAGTTTCTTAACCAAATAAAACCTGGTTTCAAGTCGACTTTTTAAAATCAAGATACTAGGGAAATAATCAGATTCCTTTCTCATCATAAAATAGGTGTGTATTGATGCCCTTGATGGGGGGGGGGTAAACTTGAATGACAAAGCCGAAAAATCTCTATAGCAACCTGTTCCGTCATTTAAGCTTGTTGTTATCACGCAGATAATAATAATAAATTATATTTCTATAGCGCTTTTCTCTAACTCAAAGACGCTTTACAGTCGGGGGAGGGTAGACAGACAAGGACAGGCAAAAACAACAAAACAAAACGAATCAAAAAATAATAATAAATGAATAAAACAAAACAAATAAAACAAGATAAACAGAAAGGGCAGTCAGGAGGACGTTGATTGAGGGGGGGGGAGGGCTTATGGATATACAGAGTGAGTCTTGAGGCGGGACTGGAACCGGGCGAGGGACTCAGACTCACGGAGGTCTTGGGCGAGGGAGTTCCAGAGCTTCGGGGCTGCCACAGAGAAGGCTCTGTCCCCCAAAGCTTGGGGGTGGAAAGCAAACCGGCTGAGGTGGATCTGAGGGACCGGGGTGGTTGGTAGAGGATGAGGAGGTCAGTGAGGTAGGGGGGGGGGGCAGATGGTGGAGGGCTTTGTATGCGAAGACCAGGAGTTTGTAGTGGATGCGGTGAGAGACGGGGAGCCAGTGGAGTTCTTTGAGGACCGGGGTGATGTGATGCCATGATTTGGGGTGGGTGAGGAGGCCTGGCGGCTGCGTTCCTGGACACGCTGGAGTCTATCGATGGAGGTGGAGCAGAATTGCCGTAGAGGAGTGAATACAAGAGTCGATGTAATGTTAATGTGTTTGTCTTTCCAATTAGTTTTAATTGGTTATATGATGCTATAAAAAGAGGTTACATTACATTGCATTTAGCTGACGCTTTTATCCAAAGCGACTTACAATAAGTACATTCGACCAGGAAGACACAACCTTGAAGAAAACAGAATCATAAAGTACATCAGGTTTCATAGAGCAAAAACATTTCAAGTGCTACTCAACTGGCTTTAGATAAGCCAGCCCTTTATTAGTATATAAGTGCTTTGTTAATAGTTCTATCGCTCGAAGTGGAGTCGAAAGAGATGAGTTTTCAGTCTGCGCCGGAAGGTGTGTAAGCTATCTGCCGTCCTGATTTCAATGGGGAGCTCATTCCACCATCTTGGAGCCAGGATAGCAAACCCACGTGTTTTTGGTTTTTGGGTTAAGACGACATGATTGACAGCTGACTCTTGACGCTTGACTTCCACTCTGAGGGAAGGAGTCACGAAGCAAAAGGCTCTGGGAGATGTAACCTTAACGCAATTTGTGTCAGTTAAAATCTGACTTTCTTAAAGGTATTTTGACGGAAACATTCGTGTTTTTTCTGGCCTACCATCTAGCGTGGCAGCAGCTAGGATCTCTGACTGTCTGTCTGCAGGATTTCACGGGTTAGATTTGAATTAAACTTGCGTAAACGGTGCAGCATGGACTTAGAAAGAACAATTAACATTTTGGAGAGGATCCAAAACA